TAAAATTAAAGTGCTAGGAAGACTGACCCGCCTCTCAGAGTGACACGGCTTCAAAGTGTGTTTAGCTGAAGCTTTGGTAGAATTTTCATCTTCCTCTGGCCATTCCTTGAATGAATGATCATGGAATTTTCGAGACCAGCATGGAGCAGGAGGCAGCGTAGGACCCAAGTGCTGGTGCACCCCTAGGAGGACCTTCTTTATCCGATTCTTTTTAATGCTGTTTGCTTATTGTTTTGCCCGAGAAAAGAGCAATTAATAGATGACTACTTCGCTGGACCTGTAACCCCAGCGTTTTGATAGGCTGAGGCAGGGGATCACAAGTTCCACCCCAGCCTGGGCAACTTAGGGAGACCCTGTCTCAAAATATACAATGAACAGGTCTGGTGATGTAGCTGAGTGCAAAGCGCCTGGGTTGAGTCTCCAGTACCAGAATAACAACAACAACAACAACAAAACAGAAGAAACAAAAAACCCCACAATGATTTACTCTAGCAGTAACTCATTAATACCTTGTAAATAAGACCGTTTGTTAGTGAACTTTATTCTGAGCATGAGGTTTTTTGGGCATAATTGTTTATATTTACATATCTGCAAATGTAACTTTAGTCTATATACAGGAGGCCTCCTCCACAGCAGTGGCGTCTGTGACTACTGCTTCAACCAAGCCTGAATTGAAAATATTCCGAAAAACACCTGTATCTGTAATGAACACATCCAAATCTTGTCATCATTTCCTGAACATTACCTTATAACCGCTATTTATAGTATGGGCACAGTACTGAGTTTCGTAAGTAATCTACGGAGGATTTGAAATATGCAGAAGATATGCACAGGTTATATGCAAATATGTGACCTTTATTTTACATAAAGGATGTGGGTCCCTGCAGACTTGGTATCTGAGGGTGTCCTGGAACCAGTCTCCATGGACACCAAAGATGACTGTTACTACAAAATATTTCTTAAAATACAGCTCACAGTCATGTAAAGCTTCACCTATCACCTGGACCACGGTGGAATGCATCTCTGCTCCAGGTTACATACCCAGGCACGTGTGACCTTTCACTGCTAGACATGCACACTGTTTTCTTTCCCCAGGAATCTCCCAGCACAGAACCTGACAAAAGCCATGCTGGGAAGAAAGTCCTGAAGGGTCGTTTGGGAACAGGGGCCAGTGCTGTCCCCAGCAGTCTGTGGGGGGGCCTGCTGTGCACATACTGGGCTCCAGGCTGGGGCAAAAGCTCACAGAGCTCTTTGGACCCTGGTCCTTTGCGCTACCCTGGCTCTCCAGGCATCCGTCCTGGCCCAGATCCCACTTATATTCTTGCAATGAACGAGCTGCTTAGATGGACACAGCCTCTGGGATTTTGGCCTCTGTGTCCTCTGAGGACCTTGTGGTCTCCTGTCTCCTCCAGTCTCTCACCAGCCCCACCTGCTGCCTCTTTTTTGACTAGGATGGGGTCTCATCCCCCAGCCACAGACTGGTACCAACCAGGGCCAAGTAGGATCCAAACTGCATAGTGGGAGGTCTGCAGTGGGTGCCCAGCACCCTCCGCTGCATGTCCAGCACCCCCATCCTAGCATCACACGCTGGCTTCGCCTCCTGTCGTTAGATCCTTGGAGGGACATGGGCCCTCCAGAGAACTGCGCTGTGAGGAATGTGGGTTACCCACACACTGCTTTTGAGAATCTAGTGTAATAATAATAGAAAGAAAACAAGTAATAAGTGTGATGGGCTTAAATTATCCCAAGCCCCATTCCCTTTGTGGGAAAATTCCTTTTGTGGGAAAATTGCCTTCCAGGAAACCTGTCCCCATTGCCAAAAACATGGGGGGTGGCTGGATTTGGAGACCCTGGGTACCATGTTGGGCTTGACAGTCTCCCTTCTCCAAGGTCTGCTGGATGTCTTCCAAGCCCACCCTGTGTCTACCCTCATGCAGGGTTGGCCACCTCATGGGACCATTCATACATGGAAGACCCTCTAGCTGGACATGGCAGCCAATCCCAGCACTCTGGGAGGCTGAGGTAGGAGGATCACAAGCTCAAACCTAGCTTTGGCGACTTAAGTGACTTAGGGAGACCCAGCCTCAAAAAGAAATTAGGAAAGGACTGGGAGTGCAGTCCTTTCAGTACTGGTTCAGTTCAAGTTCCCCCGAGCCCCTAAAAAGGCTGGAGACACAGCTCTGAGCACACCCTGTCGCCATTTCCGCTCCCCACACTTTGCACGTCTTACAGTCCAGCTCCGGAAGTCATTCGCTGGGCCACATGGTGGCATCCTTTGTACCATGGCCACCCAGCTCCCAGAAGAGCCGGGCCACTTTACCCCACTGCCCCTGGGCAATGTGAGGCCACTTCTGCCCCATCCTGCTCCGCTGGGCTCGCTCTGTTTTTAGAATGTTGTGTTCATCTAGTCAGTGAGCTAATTATAAATCTCCGATTCTTAAATTATTAAAAAGAAGCTCTCATGAGAGTCAGTTTTTCAAGTCCAGCTATTGGCCACCTATCAAAGGAACAGGCTATGTGCTGACATTTACTATAAATAATTTTGAGATGCTATTTTTGTTTCATGCCCTTTAATTATTACATCAAATTATACCATGGTTGTCAGCATATTTTACACAAAGCATATTTTGAAATTTAGTGATTTGCTGATGAGGGTTTGGGAGGGGGAAACAACTTTAGTTTAACATACAAACAGGAACACAGCATGTTGAAATGGGATGAACAATGCGTTTCCCACGAACAGCTTGAAGTAATATTGAAAGCTCGATCCCATTTTAAATGCGACTGCATGGGTTTTCTGGAACTGATTTAATAGTGCTCTGAAATGTGTAGTCCTTACGTTGTAGCGCATACACGAACCCCCACGTCAGAAGCGCTAGGGTCCAACAAAGAAGCCAGTTCTCTCGAGAATCTTCCCGTACCCGGCTCTGCTCCAGAAGTACAGTGTCTTCCTTCCCACGTGCTTTGTGTCCGTGGGCACAGCTGTCTCTTGGACAGAAGGCATGTGACCAGGAGGACCATGACAGTGATCAGAGAGTGCCTTTTGTCCGGTGGCTGCAGCAGGACCCTGTGAATGGCGGGGGAGGGGGCAGAAGGGAGGTGTTGATTGAATCTTTACATCCTTCTTTACCATTGTTTTAGATTTTCATGCACACATGTAGACGTAGATCACTCTAATGTGTTCACTTATTAACAAACAATTGTTGAACTTTAGTTTGGTAACAGCGGTCTTGTATGCAGGGACATAGTGTCTGAGACTTGGTTTCTGTTCGGGAAAGCTCATGGTCTCAGTTATCTCGGCAGAATGAGGCTCCCTGAGATGAGCTCTAGGAGAACCGCACAGAAGCGTTAGGTGGAAAAGATCTAGTTCAGCTCCAATAATACCGGAGACCCTGCCGCCTTGGCGTCTGAGATGAATCTCAAAGGGCAGGTGGAAATGCAAGGTTGGAGCCAGGACGATGGCATGGGCTGGCTCAACGTCTTTGTGGACACTGCGGGAAGGGGAGGACTTTGGCCAGTGAGGACGGTGTCATAAGTACGTGTATCTGCATCAGCATCTATGTCCGCGCCTTCACGCTGTATCTCCATCTGCACTTGTGCCGGTGTCCATGCACAGGGAGGGGCATGGGCCAAACCAGCAGCATGGAGTCCTGGTGTCCGGCTGGGTGCCAAGGACAGGACACCGGGGACGCTGGAGACCAGCAAGCTTCATTCTCTTCTCTTGTTGGAATAACCCGGGCAGCTTTTACATCCCTGTGCCAGTTCCCCAGCTGCGCCACCTCAGGTCAGGTGGAATCACCACATGTGGCAGAGATGTCCCTGTTCTGTGAAATCCCCCAGGGACTCCATTGCGCAGCCGTGGCCACACTGCGAGGGCCCACTCCTGGTGTGGATCCAGGCAGGGAGTTTGGAGCAGCGGCGCTGGAGGCACCTGCCGAGCCTGGGGGACCAGAGCCTCCTCGCCAAGGCCCGGAGCCCGGGAACTCCGGTGCACCTGGGAATGCGGGCTACATGGGGTTGTGCAGACCGTTCAGTGGGAAAGAGGAACGGTCTGCATGGTTGGTCCTGGCGCTGGTCCTCTGCATAGATCCTGAAGTTGGAGGTGGAGAGAGGGAGGGAGCCTTTGGCTCCCAAGGGAAGGGAGGACAGGCAGGCCCTGGCCATGCTGCAGGCTCCATTGCACGGCCTGGGAGGCGAGCAGGAGACCCAGGGGTCCTCTCTGCACGTGGGTGCTCCTGGGTGCCCCATACGAACCCTGCTTCCCCTTCTCTGCCCTTTTCTTTTTCTTTTTTTTTTTTCTGGTGTTTGGTTTTTTTTCTGGTACTGGGAATCAAACTCACAACCTTGTGCTTGCCAGGCAGGCACTGTGCCGCTGAGCTAAATCTCCAGCTCTCTCTGCCCTTTTCAGCTCTTCCTTTTTCTCAGTTTCCTGCTCCTCCTCCTCTTCCTCATCTTCCCCTCTTCCTCCTTCTTTGAGGTACTGAGAACTGAAGCTTGGGCCTTCGCACAGTTACATCCCCGGCCACTTATTTAAATTTATTATTATTATTATTATTATTATTATTATTATTATGAGACAGAGTTTCTCTCAGTGCTAAATTGCCCAGGCTATGCTCAAACTTGGATTCCTCCTGCCTCAGCCTCCCAGAGTGTTGGGATTCCAGGTGTGCTCCACCACACTGGCTTTGCATGCTTCTTTAGACCCATGAGCCTGGGGCAGTCTTGACCTTGGAATGATGTGGATGACACCGTCCGCTCTCCTCTACTTTCTTGTCTTCTCGTCTGCTTGCTCAACCTCTTCGGCTTTCATAACCACCGAGGAAAGGCCAGGGATGCCAGTAACGTCCACCTTTAATGGGAGACACATAGTGAGCAGACATTTAGAATACAAAGTCCAAATATAAACTGTCACCTCACTCCTCTTTGAAATGCCCGGGCCAAGAGTACCAAGGAACTGAATGTTTCTGACTCAACTTGACTGTCTGCACCTTCTTCCTTAGGAGTGGAGACACTTTAACCACATCAGACCCCGGATGTTCCCAGACTCCTGACTGCCTGGGCTAAGCTGCTGACGAGGACACAGAATGCAAATTCACAGCTCGCAGGATTTCGTGTCTGAGCAGTGAATATGTTGCACTTCACGAGAGCACTCAGATGCAGAAACACAAAGCATTGCTGATTTTAAGCAAAAGTGTTACACCCAGTCTGCTATGCTGAATGCTTCTTGCGACGTGTTATTGGGACGACTTTGGTGTGTGTGTGTGTGCGTGTGCATAGGTGTGCACTCGTGTGTGTCAGCACAGGCAGCAGGATGACTTGGGGTTCTCTCAGCAAGGGCTGTGGCCACGTTGGGCAGTTTGCATCTTTATTTAGCTGTTAGATTCCTCCTCTCTGCCAAGATCCATACCATCACCAACGCTTCCAGCATCTGGTTCTCTTTCCTACGAAGACCTCAAGGGGATTCACATCATTCTGGGTGTAAGTCAGCTTTTTGCCAGAAATGATCTTTTTTTTTATTAGTATGTGTTTTCAGCGGTTTTATTTTTTCCTTTGTAGAATGTCTCCTTGTTCTAATTTGGTGTTTGCCTGACTTTGGTCCTGGAATTCACCTTTACCCGTGTGATCCCATACAAGAGAGCCCTCCAGGCCTCGGGGTTAGCGATTCTTATCTCCAAGGGTCAGAAACCTGGGCCCAGGGCGATGGCGGCGCTCAGGGGTGCCCACATCCTGGGATGTGAGAGAGTCTGTCGGTGCGCAGGTTTCCAGGCCCAACCTAGTGCCCGCCACTCTCTGCCTGAGCTCCACGTTCAGTTTGGGGGTAAAGGAACACCCTGTCCCCTGCATCCTGGGTGCCCACAGGCAGCTTGCTTGTGGGAGAGCCAGAGTTTTGGCGGCTGAATTCCTTCTCTCGGGCAGTCAAGGGTTTCTCTTATGTTTTCTGGTGGGCACGGGGACAGCGGGGCACCTAGCTTGGCAGGGCAGCGTCCGGTGCCCTCACTAACATTTGTGTCTTAGAGACCCGCCTCCCCTGCTCAGGCTCTTCCGGAGTTTGGACCCCTGATGATTCTTTGGGGTCTCTCAAATGAAAGCTTAGGTTGGTGGCCGTTTAAAAAGAAACGCTTTTCTCCTAGAAAAATGGAGCCCTTGGCTACCAAGGAAGGCATTGGAGGACAGAGAGCTGAGGTCAGTGTTCCAGTGAAGATGGGGTCACTGGTGCTTAGGATCCAAGCTCTGACTAGCTCACTCTGTGTGTGTGTGTGTGTGTGTGTGTGTGTGTGTGTGTGTGTGCTGGTGGGGATATAGAAATACCATTTGCTGGCTTGGTAACTAGCTGATTAAGTAGTTCATTGGTGATGTTCTGGGATGGAGCTGCCCCAGACAGTTTTCCGCATTGGGCTGAGTATATTCTAGACTTTCTTTGGAGTCTCACATTCTGTGGTATATTAGAATGACCAGACAGAATGATATTTGGTCTTCTAGATTTAGCTGGCAGAGGGTGCATGAAATAACGTGTAACAAACAACCAAGAAATATCATTTGTTTTTGAAATGGGCACGTCAGATAAATGACAGTCACCCTGATTGCAAAAGTTGTCTGCTGTGAGCTACACAGGTGTGTGAATGTGTGTGCACACCCACACACAACTCACACAATTACATAAATATATGCACTTTCCCCCTCACATACCCACACTTACCCATCCACATTCACACGCATGCATCTGCCCACCCATTCCTAAGCACAGATATCGACAGACATGCACACGCTTTCACATACACAGTAACACACAAATGCAAACACACACTCATATCCACACTTGCACACACACACATGATGCCCTCACATACACTGGCACCACACAAGTACACATATAATACACTCCAACATTTATGCAACCCAAACTTGTTCAACCAGAGCATGCAGTCATCAAAACACGCACATGCACAGCCATGCATATGCTCACCCAGTCAGTGATCACCTCCCGAGCAGGCCGTCCACGGCGCAGTTCTGAGTTTCTCGTGCTTTCTGTAGTTTCTCAGCTCTGCTCTTTTGGAGCTAATTGTCAATGACAGCTTTTATCAGATGCTTCCTTTTTCAGTTATTGATCTTTCCAAGGCTTTCCTGGGGAGAGAGCCCCGAGCATCCAACAGGATCAGGAGTCACAGCCAGCAGAGGAGAGGTCACTGAGCCGGGACAGGGCAGAGCCTGTGCTGGGGAGACGGGCCAGAGCCTGATCCCCAAAACTTCTCTCACTGGGTCCCCTCAGGAAGGGGTGCACTTGCCTGGATGTGGTGCTGCTGCCCTGTCCTGGGCTGCGGAGGAGAGGTCTGAGCAGGGGTCATTATCCCAGAGCAAAGCTTAGCATGCACCATTCTACACCTGGTCACTTTATCAGTTTATTTAATATGTACACTTTTCTGTCTTTTTTTTTTTGGTACCAGGGATCGAATTCAGAACCTTACGCTTGCCAGGCAGGCACTTAAGCTGCTGAGCTATATCCCCGGCTATACACACCTTTCTAAGATGTCCTACATGAAACAAGTTCCAGACATGCTTCAGAGGGAAGCCTCCTGCCTGCTCACGGTGAAGCTAGGAAAGATCCCCAAGCTCTCCAGCACACACGTGCCCGCGTGAGTGGCCTGCTGCTGCATCTCAGGGCCATGCGCCTGTGCGATCTCTGATCTGACCCTGGAGCTCCCCGTGTGTGCTGCTGTCCTCCCTGGACTGCACGCTAGGGACGAAGAGAGGCGGATGTGAAGTGTTCTTTCCCGGAGGGTCTGCCCTTGGTCCTCCGTGGACAGGTGGCCGGTGGCCTGGGTTCCTGAGGATGGGCGAGGGCCTACATCACTTCTCTAGAGAACATGCTACACGCATCGCGCAGAGCCCAGGGAACGGCAGTAACTGGGCAGTGTCTCCACCAGCGAGGACTGAGTTGCAGCGGGGCAGCCCCGTTCACCTTGTGCCACAGATGGACAGGGAGGGTCCTAGCCACCTGCCTGTGGCTGGGACAAGCCACCTCCTAACAGCACGGTCAGCCGGAACTCCCCCGTGATGAATCCACTGACCAGCCCAGCGCCCCGTGGTCCGTCACCTTCCACACGCAGGAGGCTCTGGGGGACATTTTAGACGCAAACTGCACTGGAAGAAATGAAATCCTGCCTGGAGGGAGGAGACCCTACCCGGCGTGCTGATGCCAGCTAGAGATGCCCAGCGCCCCGTCATAGGCCCGTGCAGAATCACCATACATGGCTCTGTGCCCTGAGCTCCCGGTTGTGGGTTGTGCAAGAGCGCAGCCGAAGCAGCCAGGGCACAAAGGATGGGCGTGTAAGTGACTGCAAGCTGAAAGATGGGGTCAGGGGAGAAGGGAGGGAGAGCCTAAGGCCATGGGAGTCTGGGTGCTAAGAATCAGCTGTAACAAGAAGGAAGTTCCCTGTGTGGTTCATCCCCTGTGTCAGCCAGCTCTCCCATTTTCAGGACAAAGTGCTTCGGGTCCACAACTGAAAGGAGGAAATGGTTCATTTGACTCATGTTTTCGGGGCATTCAGTCCATGGCAGTTGGTTCCAAGGCGGAAGCATCACGACAAAGGGCACGGGGAGCAAAGCTGCTCAGTTCATGGCAGGCAGGGAGCAGAGAGCCTTCACCCCGTGAGCGCCTCCACACAGCCCCGCCCCCTCACAAACACTCAGCTAGGATGGGAGGGGACCAGTCCACCAGCCAGCCGATCCAGTCAGGTTGGCCGCTGGGGTTAACTGGTTCATCCCACATACAATCTGCAGACTGCTACATTCGGGATGCGGTTTAATCCCTACCACCTCCTCACAGATGAGCAGACAGGCCTGAAGGTGGAGTCCTTCTGGCGACAGAGGAGAACTGATGCCCAAGGTAACCTGGGTTCTCAGCACATCTGTCACCAGATCCACAGTGTGGATTCATTTCCTCTCTTACCCCCGAGCCACTGGCAGGTGTGACTAGGTCGCCCCATCACCCAGGGGAAGGAGCACAAGGGCCTGACCTTCGCTGAGGAGGAGGAGCCTGGCGGTGTCTGTGGGGAGACAGGAGCAAGTGAGCAGTTACGGATGAGGACAAAGAGGACCTACCACACCCGGTACCCAGGACGGACAGCTGGGCGTGACGGAAGTTCGAAATACAGACTGTCTGCAAGGCAGGGCGGAGCTGGGGTGGGGCGGGGTGGGCACAG